CAGGTGATCTTCAAAACCATCACTGCTAGAAACAAGTTGTGATGCTGGAGCCCCACTGCAGACATCCCAGTGGCTTCCACCTCTACTAAATGAATCACAGAATCACAGGATGGTTTGGGTTGGAAGGACCTTAAAAGATCATCTAGATCCAACCCCCTGCATGGGCAGGGACACCTCCCACCAGACCAAGTTGCTCCAAAATCCCATCCAACCTGCCCTTCAACACTGCCAGGGATGGGGCTCTAAATGAAGGAAGGTACAAGGCCTTAGCTAGAGTAATTATTGACCCAAGAGATACAGGTGCATTATCCTTCCCAGCACATGAAGGTTGTTCAACTCCAGCTGTTTCTTTCACCTGATATTGGTGTTCCTGGATGCAACCAGAGCTGAATTCTGATTTACCTTCTGTTATTTTACAGCAGGTGTAACTGAGGCAGCTACAGCTGATGTGATAAGGTGGCTGCACTTATTTAGCACATGTATTAAATCTATTGCAAGGCCTCAATTCTGCTTGAAAACTAATTGTAAGTTTGAGCCCCTTCAGATATGTAGATCAAAGGTGGCCAGTCAAGCTCCCATAATAAAACCAGTGCTTAAAAACACATCAGCTCCTGTGTTTGCTCTCTGACTAAAGAAAAAGAACGGTGAAAGTGTGATTAAGGGCAGAATTTGGCTCATACACAATCCCTGAAAGGGTTGCTGCTCTGACCACAATCATATTTTTGGAACAGAACTCATCTATTACATCTTGTTGTTAATAATTTACTCCCCGGGTTGGGCTCATTACAGCAGCATCAGCTCAGTTGTGTTGGTAGCTGCTTCCCCCACTGTGCTTGTGAGAAAAAGCAAATACACACACACACACATTTACACAGGCACAGCCACAGAGTGGTCAATGTTCAAACACTCCACGTCTATTCACTTATTTATCTGGTGAGTTCCTGGACCAGGGATGAGCACCCAAGAACTCACATGTTCTGAGAAATGCTCTTTGCAAGGAATCACAGAATCATTCTGGTTGGAAAAGACCTGTAAGGTCATTGAGTCCAACCATAACCCAACTCTACCAACCATTAACCCAACTCTACCAAGTCCAGTGCTTACACCATGTCCCCAGGCTCCACATCTACATGTTTCTTAAACACCTCCAGGGATGGAGATTCAACCACCTCCCTGGGCAGCCTGTTCCAATGCTTAATTACCTTTCAGTGAAGAATTTGCTCCTAATAGTCAATCTAAACCTCCCCTGGCACAACTTGAGACCTCCTTCTCTTGTCCTATTGCTTGTTACTTGGGAGAAAAGACCAACCCCCACCTAGTTACAAGCTCCTTTCAGGTTTCAGGGAACTGGGCTTTCCTACCCCAGCCTGTGATGAAACAGCTCTGGAGAGATTGTTCCAGATAAATCACTTGCTCTGCTCACTTGAGCATCCCCACAGCCACCACCAAGAAGACCCTGCAGAATGGGAGGAATGTTCTTTCCCCACACACTCACACATGTTCATAACAAGTGCAAACCTAACTGGAAGACTGATCAGACCGGGCTGCTCTGAAGAACTTAACTCCTTGGTGTCAACAGATGTGAGGTCCAGCAGTGGAACAGAGCTGAGATGCCAGCAGGTGATGAGCTATCCCACCAGCTGTAATGGTTCCTCTCCCAGCCACGAGGCGTGGGCAGGGAGCACGTCATCCTGTTTGATCTACTAATCAGCACTGAATCATGTTTACACTCCAGATAACATTTCATCTGCTTGCAGAAGGTCATTTATCAAGTGATGCTGGATGCTTCAGTACTGCCCGATGCCTGCAATCTGAACACCCTTCATAGGCTGCCAGACCTTCACTTTCCCTGTGGGCTAAAATCCATTCAGCTGTTAACATCCACACAATTCTTCATGCTGGAATATCAGATACTATAAACTAGAAATTACCTGTCACCCATAAAGCTAAAATACAAAAGGCAGAAAGACCTTGAAAGCTTCAAGATACAGAAACATTGAATATTTTTGTACCACAGAATCATGAAAGGGTTTGGGTTAGAAGGGACCTTCAAGATCATCAGGTTCCAACCCCTTGCAAGGGCAGGGACACCTCCCACCAGCCCAGGTTGCTCCAAGCCCCATCCAACCTGCCCTTCAACACTGCCAGGGATGGGGCAGCCACAGCTTCTCTGGGCAACCTGGGCCAGGGTCTCACCACCCTCACAGCAAAGAATTTCTTTCTAATGTCTCACCTAAATCTCCCCTCTCCCAGTTTTAATCCATTCCCCCTTGTCCTCTCACTACAAGCCCTTGTTAAAAGTCCCTCCCCAGCTTTCCTGCAGGCCCCAAAACCTCTGAATGCCTCAGATTCTGGTACCAAAGCTTTAGTTCCCACCAACCTTTGTAGGCCCTTCCTATTTCAGAACATGATTCCTACAGAATATATCAGAAATGTACTAAATGCTGTATTCCAAAACAGAATTGCAGGGTGAGTTTCCAGTTGATGCTGACATAACTGCTTGGTTTGGCCAAAGCTGTTAACAATGTGCATCCTCAGTGAGGAGGGAGAAAACCCACAGTGACTGACCCCCAAGGCTTTGAGATGACACAAAGTTTGGGGGAATGGCAAGTAGGAAAGAGCCCAGGTCACTGATACAGAGACCCCTGGATCAGATGGAGATCTGTGGAAAAGCCAATGTGTGTCAGACTGTGGTCAAACAGAAAACTGCCTCTGGGCACAAGGAGTGTATGTACCCATGGCATGGGGCACCATGTTGGGGCTACAGTGGCAATGTCACCTTTGTGGTAAATGAGGTTGGTGGTACCTCCTGTAGCCTTGCTTCTCTGATGATCTTGAAAGGAGACCTGCCAAGAAAGGCCACCTTGCTGCTGGGTGAAGCTCCTCTCCCTGGAAATAGGAGTAGAAGGGATGCTCTATGTCCAGGTCTCTTTCCAGCAGGACCTTTGGGCACACTCTGGGTGTGAGACCTGGCAATGCTCCTCAGTCCTCCACAACCAAAACCTCTGAGCAGAGCTTGGGATCACAGCAAAAAAAAACAACCCACAAAAAAAATGATGGGCAGGGAGTTAAAAGTTTGAGCTCCTGCCAAAATGACTAACGTGCTCTGTGGAATTCAAGTGGAAGCAGGCAAACCACACATTGCTCCTGCAACTGGTACTTGTGCAACTTCTTACTGGAATACTGTGTCTCGTCCTCATGGAAGTGCTCCAAAAAGGATGTTGACTAATTAGAAAAAGTTTAAGGAAGAGCCATATGAATCATTAAAGCTTCAGAAAACATGTCTTTTAGCCAGAGATTCCAAGATTGAGATACATTCATTTGCTTAAAGAGAAGATGAAGGGACAGTTTTATCTCAGCCTGTGAACAGTTAGAAGGACAACAGAAAATCTGTAACAGGTTTTTCAGGGTAGCAGACAAGTGTGCAACAAGATTCCCTGGCTAGAGGTTGGGAATAAACCTATGCAGACTGAAAAAAATTTAATTACCCAGCTGAGACTATGATACTAATTTCTGATCAACTGCTGGAGACTTCAAAGTGGCCTTTGGGTATCTGAAGGGGCTCCAGGAAAGCTGGGGAGGGACTTTTTACAAGGGTTTGTACTGAGAAGACAAGGGGGAATGGATTAAAACTGGAGGAGGGGAGATTTAGGTGAGATATTAGGAAGAAATGCTTTGCTGTGAGGGAGGTGAGAGCCTGGCCCAGGTTGCCCAGAGAAGCTGTGGCTGCCCCATCCCTGGCAGTGTTGAAGGGCAGGTTGGATGGGGCTTGGAGCAGCCTGGGCTGGTGGGAGGTGTCCCTGCCCATGCAGGGGGGTTGGGACTGGATGATCTTGAAGGTCCCTTCTAACCCAAACCAGTCTGGGATTCCATGATTGGTCCCAGTTGACACAAAAAGAAGTTCAGCAAAGACCTTTGCTCTGTTTGATGGAGATGTTACCATCGTACAAGCAGGAGTGACCCTCCCTGTAAATGTGCACATTTACAAACTGAAAAATCTATAAGCTCTGAACACCAACTGGTCCAAATGAACAACTTACCACAAAATACACCTTAGCCATTTGTTCAACTAACTTTGAGTGACTAAGTCCCCCTGCTTGGTTTCCTGGCTCTGTTCACCTTTAGGCTGTGTCTTCCCAGAGCCAGGCTAGATGACAAAGAGGCAGAAACCCCCAGAGAAGCTCTGGGGAAGCACATCCACAGCAGATGTGTGGGGCAGGCTCTCTGCTTGATGTGCAAAGACTTGTACTTATGATGTTGACACCAAGGAAACCCCAGTGCCACGGAGAGGGTGGGCTGAACCAGCTTCTCCCTGGTGCAGCTCAGCTCTGACTAAGCTCACGTCCCCAGACAAGACAGGACAAACCCAGCTGGAGTCTCAGAGCAGAAGTCATCAGTCAGAAACACCAACATCCCTTGACCTGAGCAGAGCTGATCAGGTAGCACTGAAAGGGGGACTGGCCACCCACCATGCTAGCAGAGACACTGGCAATCAAGCAGGCAGAACAGCATCCTCATCCATTAAAAACTCCCACCTTATTCCAACCTGGTTGTCCCCTTGATCCCTGGTGTTTTGGTGACTTTCCAGTCTAAACATCCTCCAGACAAGGAAAGGCCTAGAGCAGACCTCCCCTGTGAGAGAACAACAGTGTGGTGGGAAGGAGGAGATCACAGCTGGCTGCCCCTTGTGTGTCACACGTGTGTTTGCTGGGTGGAATAAAGGTTCCTCAGTTCAGTTTTTCCCCTTGAAAGGTACATCCCATCCCACCACGTGACTCAAACCCTGACTGGAAGTATGGAAAAGCTACTGGTCTGTGCCATGCTGGCACGTGCTGGCAGGAGGGACTAACACAACCATCACCTGCCCAGTGAACCTGCACTGAGAAGAAGGTGGCAACTGACTTCATCCAAAAGTGCAGGAAGCCTGGAAGGCACAACAAGCCACAGCAGTGGCAAACCCCTCTGAGACATCCCACCTCAGTGACCAGACATGTACTGACCTCAGACATCTGTGGGAAGAGACTGATGGCCAAGGGGAGGGCCAGGCCAAAGGCAGCGAGGCACACAAGGCTTTGGACTGGGAGAACCATCCGGGGACGGGACCTCAGGAGGGATGTCCTGGAAAGGAAAGGCTTTGTTAGGCCACTTCATAGACCAAAGGAGTACAAGTACCACCAATGCTGGTGTCCATCCAGACCCACTGGTCTCCCCTCTCCCAAACTGGTCTAGGTTTCTTCATCAAGTTCACCCACACAAGATCCCTGCACACTCTGCTTTTGCACACCAACACTAGGGCCCACTTCTCCTGCACTAAAACACCATCACTCCCCTGCACACTCTGCTTTTGCACCCGCTGGGGCTGCACAGCCCACACCAACCCCAGAGCCCACTTCTCCTGCACTAAAACACCATCACTTCACACACACTTCCAACATTCCAAACCCAAATGAGACATGAGGAAGAAATTCTTGGCTGTGAGGGTGGTGAGACCCTGGCCCAGGCTGCCCAGAGAAGCTGTGGCTGCCCCATCCCTGGCAGTGTTGAAGGGCAGGTTGGATGGGGCTTGGAGCAACCTGGGCTGGTGGGAGGTGGATGATCTTGAAGGTCCTTCCAACCCAAACCAGGCTGGGATTCTATGAAAACATCTTACACAGGAGCAAACAGCACACGAGGTGACCTGGCCACACGCAGGTGTCACCTGCATTAAGGCTTTGGGGACCATGTTGAGTGAGCAGAAGGAAATTCAGTTCTTGAGAGGCCTTGTGAACTTTGTCAGGTGGTACTGGAGAAAGCACACGACTTTGACAATGGGGTAATGAAGCATTAAACTTCAACCTAAACTGAACTTCAACACCTTAATTTGTTAAAAATCCAACATTGGCAGAGTGGGGGATAAGGATGTTTCAACACTCCTTGTCCCCAGGGGACACTGATGAGTTCAAGGCTCGTTAACTCTTTAAGATACCTGCAAGGTCAGGTTCTGATGACGACCCATTAGGTGACCCTTCTGATGCAACTAACACTGAATGACAGGGACAACATTCAGCTGGCATAAGGTGGCATGTTAACTATATTCCAGGATGCAGGACCTCAGAGAGTTTGCAAGACCTCAGAGAGTTTGCAAATCCTAAGGGGAAAAATGTGATTCTGGAGGGGATTGTTCTGGAGATGTTTACACCAAAAGGACTTAACCTTCAACTTCTTTCTACCCACCTGAAACACCTGGGAATATGACCCAGCAACTTGACTATTGTTTGAGTACTGAGTGGATATTAAGAGTGGAGAGAGTCAGCAGATTTGCTGCTGGGTCCTCAGCTACAGCCTTAGTCCCAACATTGTCCTCTGTCCATCCTGCTCCTGAGGATGCCAGTGTCTCAGGGCATCACACCAGCAAACATGGGCAAAGATCTGCTACTGAATGCCTTTCCACAGGGATGCTGACACAGGAGAGCTCTTTTGGTTAAGGAAGGTAAAAACATACAATCACAGAATCATTTTGGTTGGCAAAAGACCTTTTAAGACCTTCAAGTCCAACCATCAACCCAGCCCTGCCAAGGCCCCCCCTGCCCCATGTCCCTCAGCACCACATCTACAGGGCTTGGAACCCCCTCCAGGGATGGGGACTCCCCCCCTGCCCTGGGCAGCCTGGGCCAGGGCCTGACAGCCCTTGCCAGGAAGAAATTGTTCCCCAGATCCAACCTCAACCTCCCCTGGCACAACTTCAAGGATGTTTCCTCTTGTCCCACCCCTTGTTCCTGGGGAGCAGAGCCCGACCCCCCTGGCTCCAACCTCCTCTCAGCAGCTGCAGAGCCAGCAGGTCTCCCCTCAGCTCCTTTGCTCCAGGCTGGACACCCCCAGCTCCCTCAGCTGCTCCTGCTCACCGTTGTGCTCCAGCCCCTTCCCCAGCTCCCTTGCCCTTCTCTGGACACATTCCAGTCCCTCCATGTCCTTCTTGTTTAGGGGCCAAGAACTGACCCCAGGATTTGAGGTGCAGCCTCAGCAGTGCCCAGCACAGAGGGGTTACAGTCACCTCCAAACCTTGCTGCAGTTGCCATCACCAGGGTTTTAAAAAGCATTTCTAAGCCCACGTGCACCATTCCCAAGGTGCCCACCAAAACCAAGCCAAGATACCCATCCCCCAGCAGGGCCCAGTTTCTCACAGGCATCAGTGATTTAGGTTAGACATCAGGAAGAAATTCTTCACTCTGAGGGTGGTGAGGAACTGGGATGGGTTGCCCAGGGAGGTTGTTGATGCCCCATCCCTGGAGGTTTTCAAGATCAGGCTGGATGAGGTTTTGTGCAACCTGATCTAGTGGTTCCCTGCTCATGGCAGGGGGGTTGGAACTGGATGATCTTTAAGGTCCCTTCCAACCTTGATGATTCTATGATTTTGGAGGCACATGTGATTTTGGAGACACACCTCCCCATGCAGCCAATGCAAGAGACCAGATTAGCTCAACCCCTTCTACTTCAGGTTCACTGCAGGCTACAAAGAGGCACCTGAGGAATTCTTGTGCTAGCAGTGCTTGCTGAAAGTTGTCTTCATCTTGAGAAGGTTGGGGGGGAGTGGGGAAGGAAAACAAGATCCAGAGCCTTACCTCCTCCAATGTCTCAGCCCCCCACTGATGAGCTACCAAGATGGAGCTGATCCTTTCCATTTGTGCTGCCAAACCCAAGCTCCTGTTCTCCAGCATTTGGAGGTCCTGTCTCTTCTTTGTTTTGCATAGAGCTTGATCTAACCTAAATGACTCCTGCAGAAGTCTTCAAGTGAGTGGGGAAAGCAGGTTCCCCTTTCTCCATGGCCTCTAACAAACACAAGGTTCAAGGACTGCCATCAATGAGCTGTGACAAGTGAGCCCTGGGAGGCAGAGGGGCTGGGAGGCTCCTGGAACTGATTTACTCTGCTGCTTAAGGTGTCGTGATCCACGACAGCCCTCGCTGAGAAAATCCTACAACCAGAGTCCCTCCAGCCTCCCTGGAGCACAGTTTGGAACCAAGACATCACTGCTTACACCACCCCTGACACCTTCATTTGGAAGCTGCACCCTCTTTAATTACCACCCTGTTGGGGACCTTGTAATCACCCAAGTTAAAACTCAACCAATTTAAAATGATCCCTGGTGCAGCCCCCAGGTGTGATCTCCAGGAGTGCCTCCAACTCAGGCCAGTTCAAATTACAAGGGCTAACCTTCCAATTAAGAAGAGTTAGGGCTCGATTGAAAAAGCAGAGGGGACTAATTAACACATGTAGTGTAATGTCTTAATTGGGATTCAGATTCTAAAAATTTGTGTGGTTCAGAATAAATGCCTGGTAATTAGCTGGGAGGTCCACTCTGCTTCTGTCCCCCAGGATCTTTGCTCTCCACACAGACCTCAGAGGAGGATGAAGTTAAATATTGCCTGCTGCAGCCTGTGAGCTGTCAAATGCAATCAAAAAACCCTCTTGTCACCCATTAGCCCCCCATCGGATGTGAAAGATTAGATGTTTCCAAAGGGGTTAATTGCAGAGCATTACAGCAGCTTAAAAATAAATAAAATTAATATCCATTTACTGAAGAGGGAATTAGTTTTACAGCCCTGTCCTGTGTGCTCTGCCAAAGGGATCGATCAGGGACATGGAGGTCTGGACCTTTAGATCCTCCTGACAGGCCAGCTTTGCTGTTGGCATCTCCTGAAGCAGAGTGTTACATCCACAAGATGTAATGTATTATTTTACCTTACCAGTAATTCTGCTGTTGAATCGAGTCTTTAAAGCTATTTTAATATTGAAATAGTAGTTTTACAGACCATCACCATGTACAGAGGACATGGGGAACCGAAACCTTGGCACTCAGATTAGACAACATAGGATTGAAAAGTTTGTGCCAAGAGACAGTCTCACACTGGAAATCTGCAGGAAGACAATAATATGTGTGTTTTATTGCTCCTATTTCAGAAGCCAAATTTTTGGCACTGCTGGTCTGCCTCACTAGTATAACTGGGGGTGTCCAGCCTGGAGCAAAGGAGCTGAGGGGAGACCTGCTGGCTCTGCAGCTGCTGAGAGGAGGTTGGAGCCAGGGAGGTCGGGCTCTGCTCCCCAGGAACAAGGGGTGGGACAAGAGGGAACATCCTCAGGTTGTGCCAGGGGAGGTTTAGATGGGATCTTGGGAAGAATTTCTTCCTGGAAAGTGTTGTCAGGCCCTGGCTTAGGGCAGGGGTGGAGTCTCCATCCCTGGAGGAGTTTCCAAGCCCTGTAGATGTGGTGCTGAGGGACATGGGGCAGGGGTGGCCTTGGCAGTGCTGGGTTAACAGTTGGACTTGATGATCTTAAAGGTCTTTTCCAACCAAAACAATTCTACTATCTGTAAGTGGTCCATGTTTATACACCAACCCTTGAATGGCAAAGCTCATGCATTTTTGCAGCACTTCCCTCCTCCTCTCTCTTTTTCTCTTCTTCTTCTTTTGTTTTGGATTTTCTTTAATACTTTTTTTAACGATTGGTTTCTTTACCCCTCTTCAACACCCCCCCCACCACCCAGTGCCTCTTCTTCCTACAATCTGCCTTCAGGAAACCTGCCTGGCAGATACCAGGCTGGGGAGCTCCTGGTGGGAGGCAGCACGTACAGTTAAGGGCTCTACCCAAACCAGTGAGACCTCCTGAAGAACATTTCCATATGCACGGACGTAGGTCCAGACACGTGCATACTTGTACAGACTGTGCATCTGCTCCACAGAGACAGTGTGTTGTAGATCTTGTAAATACACCTTCATTCAACTTTCATCACATTGTTCATTAGTGGCTTAAATTTTGCATAATTTGGCAGCTGCCTCTGGCGTTTCTCAGGAGGGACTGTAATTTATTCCATATGGAAGTCAGTTGCTGCACCAGAAAGGAGTTATCAGGTTCAGTGAACCAGAGCTGTATTTGTCTAGGAGGAGGTGTCGGATGCTAAACTAAACATGACAGGAGTGAAGCAAAAGTCTCCCAGCTGACAGATCCTGGGGGGTTTGCTGTGCTGTGTGGTGTGAACAGGTCCAAAGCTCACCCACACCCCGCCAGACGCCCGGGCTGGGGAAAGCCAAGGCTCTGGGTATCCCCAGGCAAATCAGAGCCCGGGGTTCAAAACACCCCTCTGATG